CCCTGAGTGCTCACTGGAAGGACAGATCCTGAAGCTGAGGCTCCAGTACTTTGGCCATCTAATGAGAAGAAAAGACTCCCTGGAAAAGGCCCTGATGTTGGGAAAGTGTGATGGCAAGAGGAGAAGGGGACGACCGAGGATGAGATGGCTGGACGGTGTCTGCGAAGCAACCAACATGAATTTGACACAACTCTGGGAGGCAGTGGAGGATAGGAGGGCCTGGCGTGCTCTGGTCCATGGGGTCACGAAGAGTCGGACACGACTAAACGACTAAACGAACGAACGAACGAACGAGAATATTAATAGCTAGATACTGGAAAGACAAACATGATATTAAATTAGAACATTGGTATAACGAAGTATGGGACATTGTGTTAAATGACAAATTGACTACTGAACTTAAGAGGAAACGTTTAAATACTTTATGGTATTTGGGGTAATTTATTGAATTTGTATTAGTGAAGGGAAAGGGAAAGCCTCTAAGCAACAATCAATACAATCTTGGAATAGAGGTTCATAATAAAAGAATTGCTTCAAAGTGTCCCATGGGTATCAGGGTGCACTATGTTTTAGATTGTTAGTAAGTATTTTGTATTGTTATATTTGTTTTGGAAAAATAATATATTTTTAAAAAAGAAATGTGTTTTTTTAGTAAGTATTTTGTGGTTTATTTATTCTAAGGCTGGTTTATTTATTCCCTGTAAATGAATATACTGGAATTTCTTATCCTTGAAAACTTTGAAAAGATCATTAGAAACACAATTATAATGTGGACACTGTCTTAGCTGGTATTTGAATCCTTGCATATTAAACAGGGTTTAATGATTAAGGCTGTGAGTACTCAGTGCATTAATATGCTCTCATGTTGCAACTGATTTATAATGGTGTTTCAAGAGATGTGAGATGTTTAAGGAGTGGTTTTGTCAGTGCTCTCCCACTTCAGTAAATTTCCAAGCTGAATAGGGATTAGAACTTGGGTCTCCTGATCATAATCTCTACTGCTTTGTCCACAACACAATACAGTACTCTTTTTTTTGTCTGTATAGAGCCAAGACCATTAAGAATACAGTCTCTGTGAATCTTGAGCTGACTGCTGAAGAATGGAAGAAAAAATACGAGAAGGAGAAGGAAAAAAACAAGACACTAAAGAATGTTATACAGCATCTGGAGATGGAACTGAACAGATGGAGAAATGGTGAGAAATGGCAATTTGTGGTTGATTGCTAGACCACTGTTGACGTCTTCAGTTAAAATGGAAGTTAGCCAAATAGTTGCTGCCTCACCCCAAATAAATCTTAAAATGGAAGTTAGCCAAATAGTTGCTACCTCACCCCAAATAAATCATAATGCATATCACTGATGAGGCAATACCAAGAACATCTGGAGGCCCAAGGTTGGGGACCACTGTCATAATGCATATCACTGATTAGGCAAGATGCTATTATAGTGGTAAATAACCTTGTTCCATTTGTCTGCAGAGATCTATGAATACTGCTCATTCTTATATAGAGGGCATTACATCAAAGAACCTTTCAGAGGCAACACTGCTGTCTTGACGTCAAGAATGAGCCTCAGACCCGTACATTTCACCTTTCATATGGTGTCTTTGGTGCAGAGATCTTGATTTAATTTACAACCAGAATTCCCAATTACATCCTAAAGATGAAAAGCTGATTTAATGTGGTTTGTTGTTGTTGTTATGTGCCACCAACTCACTTCTGATTTACAACGCCCCTAGTTGGGTTCTTGATATGTATGAGATGTTCATGGAATGGTTTGCCATTGGCACCTCCAGGTGAGTTTCCGTGGCCAAGCAGGGATTTGAATCTAGGTCTCTAGTCCAACATTCTGTCCTTTGTGCCACACTGGGGGCTCGATAACTACAGTGTTAACACGAGCATAATATTCTACTTAATTTTAATCCATATTAAATCAAATTTTTTCTGTTTTGCACATAACAGAAAATTCTGGTTTAAAACAAGCTGGATTCTCTGCACTAAAACTGGCACAAGGGGAGAAGCACACAGTCCCAGTGTTGCTCCTGGTTTTGTATGCCATGGGTTCTGAAGCCAGAAAGGTGACATCGTGAATTAAGTTGAGCAAATTTAATTCCCGCTTGATACCAGGTTCTGAATTGGCAAGACGTAATCTGCAGTCCTCTAATAAATGGAAGCCATGGTTTGAAATACTGTATGCTGCAATCTGTTATTCTGTCAGCGTTGGTTTAGTAAGTTGTTTAAATTGAGAGTTCATACTTAATGCTGGTGCTTTAACTCCAGAAGATGTTGCAGTGTAAGGACAGAAATGAAACTTGAGTGCTGAGAAAACAGGAAACAAAGATGTGATTTCTTTGTTGTACATTAGGAATCTTGGGCCGTGGTTGTTATTTCTGAAATACCCTGAGTACAAGCCATGGTTTGGTCTAATTCTTAGTCTTTACCTGTTTGAAAGTGGTCCCATCTGATACTGCCTGTAATGACTGCAGAGGGGGACCAAAAAAGCCAAGGTCTGTAGGTTATGTATTCTTGAAAGCTTTCACGGCCAGGATCCGATGGTTATTGTAGGTTTTTCAGACTGTTTGGCAGTGTTCTTAAGGTTTTTCTTCCTAATGTTTCACCAGTCTCTGTGGCCCGAGGACAGGAATCAGAACTCTGTGTTCTGGTGCAGTTTGTGGGATAGTTGAGTACAGTATTTATAGCTGTGGGATCAGCTTTTTGTCCTTTTTAGGAGATTGGGTGATTATGGTGATCAGAGTGTTTTTTGTTGTGGGGGTATTGTTGTGATAAGGGGAAGAGATCATTTGTCACTGTGATTGATGGGTGTTGTTAGCTGATCTTTTGTGTACAGTGATCATCGGTCCTTGTGGCTGGGGAGAGTTTGTTGATCTTTTGCAGGCTGGATTTTTCAGTGCTGGGAGCCAGGCTTTGTTGAGATGCTGGCCACAGAGAAGAAAAACCTTAAGAACACAGCCAAACAGCCTGAAAAACCTACAACAGTCATCTGTAAGATATGTTTGTTAATTGTGCAAATCAATAGAAAATATAGTATGCTAAGTTTAGGCTGTGGTAATTGCAAAGGTTTTGTAACACCTTTCTCCACTCACTGTACTTCTGAGTTGTACTTTCCCACACAATTTTTTTTAAAGAACATGGCACCTTTTTCAGAAATAGGTATTGGATCTAAGGACTGTAACCCTGTTCAGGTGTTCATCCTGATTAAGCTAGGCTATGTATATGAGAAGAGCATCCTCTGCTCCAAGATTCAGACTGTGCCAAACTGAACAGGATGTTTTGAAGAGTTCAGCACTCATACGCCTTGATGTGAGTAGGCCTCCCTTGTAGGATCAGGGAGTCACTATCTCCAGTCATGCTAGTCTACTCATACATTTAAAAAATGCTTGGAAGCTCCCATTCAGATCTTGCTCTTCGGATTGGGAAGTTCTGAGCTAACGCTGGTGGTGGTGACAGTAGTACTGTACACTTGGATGTATGTGGTGGTGTCTGAGTGTACAGCCTCAGAACCTATCCATCTGTGTAATCTGTGTTTTTGAGGCTTGGTGGGTGAACAGGGCTTAGGGAAATAAGGACTTCTGTTCCTATCATATCTTGACTCCTAAATTTTAGGGTTTTAGTGGATCTCTGTGACAATTTGCAGCATAGTCTGAAAACAAACCCACAGTGTACTTCTGCCTAGTTAGGGAACATGTATACTTGAATGATGGGATTGACACAGAGAAGCCTATATATTCCCATTGTAATCGTATTTTTGGTCTGGACCAATGCTCTAGTGTAGATGCTGAAAGGTGTCGGCTGAAGCAATGTTGACACTCAGTAATGAAAAGGTTCCCGGTTTCTGGGTTGTGTGTCTGATGTGCCAAGTCACAAGATATGGAGGTCACAATAGCCTGACCTAAAAAACATTTTGTATGGTTTTTAATATTGTGAATGTTATATTTTGTTTTCTCTGAACTTATCAGTAAAACTATTACTATAGAATGGTGAAGGAAAGTACAGGACAAAAATCATATAATTAAAAAAATTAATTGCATAAATTAACAATGTTGATCTAATCAAGATGTGTGGACATGATGAGTGGCTGCTTCACTGGCTAGTGAGGTGTTTTTTTTTTTAATTTCTAGGACTGTGCTCTGACTTGGGGTATTCCTGGTTAACTGATACTTTGTAGAGAAACATGATATCTTAAGAGTTTTTATATCTGTGTTTTTGTGTAAATGAACTGAGTCTTATTTCAGACACCATATCTGCTGGTGATGCTTGGCCATTCATTTTGTTGCTTTCATGATAGAAGCCATGAGAACCAGCCAAGACTTAATATAATTTGGAGAGGGCTGTGTAGCTGCCCGTCTTGAGACATGAAAGCACGTACAGACTATTAAGCTGTGGATACGAAGAGTAACATGAGGAGGTTAATTACTGCTTGGGATGGAAAGACAAGTAAGGTCATTTGCTGAGCAGGAATAATTTCCAACTTCATTTCTAATTGGAAAGGGTTTTTCCTATTGTAGATTGTGGCCAAGAATTTTAGTTTTAATGATGACTTTTAGTAGGAGTTGGGGAAGAGGATTTTTTAAATAGGTATACACAGAAATTATTGAAAATGCATTTCATAACAGATAATTAAGAGTTGCTTAAAATCAAGGTGGATAAAAAGCAATGATTTTTTAAAAATCAAATTGATGTAAATCACAATTTAAATCAAAATTTGATTTTTTTAAAATTTAAATTGTGATTTAAATCAAATCAATTCTGCTTAAAATAGATAATTAAGACAAGTGATGCGTCACTTGAGCTTTGTTGTGGCCATAAAGGTTATTTACATTCATTACTTTAACAAACACTAAGTGCTTACATACGATAGTTAAAATGAATATTGGTGATTTAGCAGTAGCCTTCAAATTTTGGATTTTAGGAGCCAGAGAGCTCTTCTTGTTAGTTCTGTTGTCTTGATAGTGATTATCACACATCAGTCTTCATTCAGTATGCTTGATACTTCAGCTGTAATGCTGAAACAAGTTATTGTTCTTTTCTAATTATCTTCTCCACCCCACCCCTTCCAATAATCTGTCTAGTAATGTGGTTTTGCTTGTCCCCTCTAGAGACTTGGATCACAGTCATACTGGGAGTTTTTCTTTATTAGCACAATGAAATTTCCCCAATGACACTTCGTTTGATGAAGGGTATTTGTATAGTGCTTGCCATGTACAATCAGATAATCTTGTGTGATGAAGACTTGCCTTGCTGAACAGCACTTTCAAGTATGTCCTTTTACATCTGTGAAGGACAAAACATTTTAAAAGAAATAATTTGTTGCTGGAAAAGGCCATCTAGGGAAGGGAAGGTCTATTCCAAGTTGAGTATTGGAATATTTTTGATTAGTCGAGTATCTCAGTTTAGACTTCTATGATAACTGCAATCATAGAATAGTGAAGTTGGAAGGGGCCTATAAGACCATCAAATCCAACCCCCTGCTCGATGCAGGAATACAAATGAAAGGATATCTGTTAGGTGGTTGTCTTTGTTTCTCTTGAATGCCTCCAGTGTTGAAGCACTCACCACATCTTGAGGTTATTGGTTCCACTGTCTTACTGCTCTAATAGTTAGGATACTTTTCCTGATATTCAATCGAAATCTGGCTTCCTGTCACTTGAGCCCATTGTTGTGTGTCCTGCACTCTGGGATGATCAAGAAGAGATCCTGCCCTTCCTCTGTATGACAGCCTTTCAAGTATTTGAAAAGTGTTATCAGATCACCCCTCAGTCTTCTTTTCTCAAGACTAGACATGCTCAATTCTTCCAGTCTTTCCTCATAGGGCTTGGTTTCCAGCCTTCTGATCATCCTTGTTGCCCTCCTCTGAACTTGTTCCAATTTGTTGGCATCCTTCTTGAAGTGTGGTGTCCAGAACTGGACACAATACTCAAAGTGAGGCCTAATCAGTGCTGAATAGAGGAGAACTAGCATCTTGCAAGATTTGGAAACTATACTTCTGTTAATGCAGCCTAAAATAGCATTTGCCTTTTTTGTAGCCATATCACACTGTTGGCTCATATTCAGTTTGCGATCTACAGCAGTTCCATGATCCTTCTTGCTTGTAGTATTGCTGAGCCAGGCATCCCCCATCTTGTAATTGTGCATTTGGGAAGGATGTTGTTGTGTATGAAATACTAGTAGGAAAGTATCTGTGAAATCAACACAAAGACATTTTTAATTGGGAAGAGGTGTTCGTCTCTTGCAGCAAAAACATAAAATTTGTGGTTGGACGTAGATTTGCATTGTTATGAATCGAAGGCTCCTGATACTTCCTCTGATGCCTCCTTTTGCCAGTAGCTCTCAGATCGACATTCCACAATCTTCTGAAAGGTGCTCTGACCCTTTAGAACAGTACAAGGGGCAGCTGGAGGAAGATTACTGCCCAGTACCTTGTTTAGAACCAGTGTATTTCCACTGAGCGTACACATCTGTGTGTAGCCCAACAAACCTTAAATCAACTTAAAGGTGGAAAGATTTAACAGAAGGAGTTGGATGGTTCATCCCTGATACTTCTTTTGGCTAATTAATATGCCGTAGTTGTTTCTCTTCCTTCATGCTCCAGATTTCAGAAGGGCATATCTAATCACATAGCTATGATTCCTTGGATGAGTTGATTTATCTATAATTCCAGTCCAGTCTAGTAGACCACTAAATAGGATGACTGGAAAAGAACTGTAGGGCACTAAAGATAAATAGTCTGTGAACCATCGAGTTTCCCACCTTTTTGCTTTATCGTGGATTCTGTCAAGGTCTGTTGTGTCTGCAGGAGAGGCAGTTCCTGAGGAAGAACAGATCAGCGCTAAGGACCAAAAGAATTTGGAGCCATGTGACAACACACCCATCATTGACAATATTGCACCTGTTGCTGCCAGTATCTCAACAGAGGAAAAACGGAAATACGAGGAAGAGATCACTAGCCTCTACAGACAATTGGATGATAAGGTCTGTAAATGGTTTCCTTGCGGAAATTCTTAGTTGGAAATGAACTTAGACTTGCATCCAAACAATGCTTTGAGGTGAAGTTTGTGTTTGTTCTGGAAAAATAAATGGATCGTTCCAGTTGTAAACATAACAAACTGCCATAGCTGTATGTGTTTTAACAGAGTCAATCTCTTATTTCAAGGCCAAGAAGAAATATTTGTTCCACTAAGTTTTCCTGTTCATTTCCTGTCCCATCCTTCTGCAAATCAGAGCTACTACTTGTTTTACAACAATTCCTAGAAGACTGCCTCACATTCTGTGTTATGTAGGCAGTTCCAGCCATTCAGCTTGCATGAAAAATCCAGGGTAAATGCACTAGTGCTCTGAGCCTTAGTTCTCTCAGAGATGATCAAAATGTATGTAGATTGTATCACTTCAGATTGCAGAACCCTTTGTTTGAATGTTTACTGATGCAAGAAAAAAATGTAATAAATCTCTGCATGCTGAATGCACTAAATGAAAGGGCATTTTATCATGCGAGCCTCACTTGCAAACTAAAGTGACATGTTTAGAGTCTATAGGTTATCTGTCTCAATAAAGTCTGCATCAATTGGAGGAAAATAGAGGCAGAGTTCTTGAGCTGAATTGTTCTGAGATTTTACTCCAGAGTAAGTGAACTCATAACTTGTGGCAATAGATTGCAGCTAGTTAATGAGGTGTAGATCACATGCCCAGTACCTCAGTAATTAGCTGCAATTCACCACCAAAACGTACGCAATTTCACTTATCTAGAGTAAAATCCCAGTCCAGTTTTGATCCTTACCTAAGCTCAGAATGCCACCATAGCTCCATTTCATGCTTCTGATGAACAGACAGTGGCTATGTTCAGAGATTGCAGTCCTTCTTCTCCAAAGTATGATTTGGAGAATCAGCAACAATCTTAAGAGTGACTCTCCTCTTTTTCCTTTCCTGGTTTGAACGTCATAGTAAAATATGATTGAAAGAAACCGGGAAGTACAGTGGTGCCTCGCAAGACGATTGCCTCGCAAAACAAGGAATTCACTAGACAGAATTCACTAGATGGTGACTTTTTTTGAGCAATGTTGTGCTTCCCAAAACGATTATTCCTATGGGCAATTTTCGCAAGACAGTTTCTCCCCCCCAAACCTTGTTTCACAAGACAGTTCCCCCCCCCCAATTGGAACACATTAATTACATACTGTAAGACCTACTTTTTTACCCCCCCAAAAAGTATATGCTGCTGGGACAAAAGTGTATGTTGCTGGCTTTTCAGGGTCTGCCTCCTGGAAAAACACCAGCATACACTTTCTCCCCCACTTTTTTGGGATAAAAAAAGTAGGTCTTATGTAATTAATATGTTCCAATTGGGAAGGGAAACTATCTTGTAATGGGGCTAGGGTTTTGAATTTAAATGATAGAGAGTGGTGAAAATAGCCAGAAACCAAAGGATAAAGAGATTGCAAAAAGAAAAGAAAAGAAAAGAAAAATCATAAATGTAATCTTCTTATTAACATAAATTATGCAGCTGAGTTCCCCACATTTAGGGAAATCACAGGGATCAGCAGCACACCCAAAGTGCAATGAATGAGCCTCCCCCTGGGAAAACCATTTTTATGGCATGGTATTTCTCCAGAAAAGTGTAACTTAGAATGGCCCTTGCATCTCCTACCCCATTCTTTCCCCTAATACCTGTGCACTAGAGGATTGTGGGAGGAACACTTAGCCCCTGATGGGGGTCCCACAGGGCACCCCAAAACATTGAGGAGCTCTCTTGGCCTCTGGCAGGACTGGGGCTGTGCAGCCCTGTACTGAGTGAGAGGTGCCAGGGGGTCACCATGACTTGGGGGACAGGCCACAGAAGGGGGTTTGACTCCTTTTACCCCCTTTTTCTCTCTTTTGTTGCTGGAGAGAGAAAGCTATCTGAGACCCATTGAATTTCCAAAGGCAGTGCAGGTGAGGAGGGGATTGCTTTTCCCCAAGATGGTATGGGGAACTGTGTTTTGCAAGACGATGTCTTTCTTCTATGGATAATTTTTGCAAGACAGTGATTTCCCCCCCAATTGGAACGCATTAAATAGATTTCAGTGCATTCCAATGGGGAACTGGGTTTCACAAGATGATGTTTTCACAAGACAGCGATTTCCATGGAACGAATTAAAATCGTCTTGTGAGGCACCACTGTATTTTATTGAGCTGAGTGTATGTGTGTGTGTGTGGGGGGGGAAACAGGAAAAGCTCACGCTTGGTTCTCTATTCTGAATTATCCTTTCCCATTCCAGTGCTTTCTAGTTGTTTTGTACTAGAATTCTCAGTAGCACAGGCAGTATGCCTAATGGTTAGGCAAGGAAAGAGTGATAGTACAGAGCATTTAGAGGGCACCAGGTTAGGGAATTGCTCTGAACCATAATCTGGGTGGTTCCAAATGCAGTCAGTGTAATTGTGCATTTTTATTATTTTGATTTCTGTGTCTTTAATCCCGTTCATTGTAAAGAGTCTGAAGATGGAAAAAAAGAAGTGGTTGAACAGCCCATGTTTATACACTTTAAAAAGCCCTTCTCAAGGTTAAGGGAGACTTCCAGAGCAGAGCAAGTGGCTGTTACCTGAAAGCGTCCCCGTAGGAATGCTTAGGAACCACTTTAGGAATCAAAGTAGTTGCTCCCTTGCTGAGTGGGTGGATGTAACTTCTTATTGGCCAAGTTTCAGCTTGGATATTAAATGCCTAAATGCTCACAATTGTGTGGCACTTGAGTAATTATAAAGATCAGTTGCCACGAAGATACACACATTGAGGCTTGAATCCTGTTTCTTCATTTTGCTCCCACAACAATGCCCTGCTGGAAAGGACCAACGTTTTCTGACCTTATATGAGGAGTTATTCAGTACTATCTTGCACAAATGTAAGACCAACTCTCTTTCAGATGGGAACTCATTCCTTTTGTCTTCCGAATGTGTGACTTCCTATCAAATAAGGAAAAACATTTTTAAAACATCAGATAACAAAGGAAAACAAAACATTTTCCATCCATATATTAAGTGACTAATGCAGTTTACATTAAAAGTAGTTTGTTTGTTTGTTTGTTTGTTTGTTGATTTGATTTGATTTGATTTGATTTGATTTGATTTGATTTGATTTATATCCCGCCCATCTAGTATATTCTACCACTCTGGGTGGCTAACAACGTATTATGTAAATTCATACTTAGAAGGAGTGAGAGTAAGCAATTTTTGTAATAGATGTTAGCATTCTATATATAAAATTTATCTCTTCTTTTAAAGAAAGAAAATAACATGGAGTTGCTCTGGAAGCAGCTGCAAATTTCAGGCAATGTTTACTGTCAGCATTAGGCAGGCAATTATAAAGTCTATATTTTTAAATGAATCGAAATGAAATGAAACTCTTACTGGAAGCGGTTGCAAATTTCAGGTGTTATTTACTGATGGCATTAATGAAAGGAATTTAATGAAAGCAGGATGAAGCCAGTCATGGTTTGGGGATTCAAAAGATTTTTTTTCTGTGGAACTAGCAGATTTGATATTAGTTCATTAAATTAGGCAGTTCTAAGGATTGATTTATGGCTTTGGCAATTTACGTCTTTAAAGGTTGATGCATTTTAGTAAGAAAGGTCAGAATGAACCTTTGTACTGTGCAGAGTATAATGTAAGAATTATTGATTCCCCCCCTACTGTCCTCTGTTGAACAGTTGAATTCTCATTTCCTTCATGTTAAAAATTTGATGAAAAACATGGGCATCCATTTTTATGGTTCAGGGTACAAAAATATCAAAACAGGAAAAAAAATCTCTTTTTCATTAACTGCAGGATGATGAAATTAATCAACAGAGTCAATTGGCTGAAAAACTAAAGCAGCAGATGTTGGATCAAGATGAGGTAAATAGTGATGCAAACAGATGATGATGATGAAGAAGAATGTAATTATTAAAAGTAGTAGAAATGGATGGATTTCTTGTCCATTTCAGTTTTCCATGTGCTAATTCAGAAGCCTGATCCTTTCCATTTCCAGATTAATTATTTTAAATTGCATGTACTTAAGTATTTAATTATGTATTTTAATATATTTTCCTCACAAATACTAAATGTATTGTTGTTCAAAATACAAATTTCTAAAGCATAGAATTTCCATGAGTTTTGATGTGTCCTTTTAGCTTAGAATGTTAGTGCATAATTTAAACAAGCACAGAATCTGAAGGATAACTATGATCTGAGTCTGGAAATGTGAATCAAGTTGACTGATGTTGAAATGAAAACCAAACAGAACCCTTGAGTGTCCCTAGCGATTGTGGTAGTCCTACAACAGATCACACATTCCCCATGTTTTCCCCAACATTTGGGATTCTCCAGTCTTGGCTTCACCGATTCACCTGGTCCTTGCTTTAAACATAATCTATTTCTATGTAGTAATTGTAAGATAGTTTTCAAAATTAAGTTCAGTTGTGTCTCAGTGCATCCTGAAAATGTAAGCGCCCACAATTGCAGAAATAAGGGAAAGACTTTTCTCCCCAGTATTGTTCAATGCTTTTTCTAATATAGCTACCAAGTTAAATATAAACGTTAGTGATTGAAGCCCATTGGGCTAAATTCATTCTTTTGAGAGATGCCATCTCTAGAACTCCACTTGCTGGCCTAAAAGGAGAAGAGGTGCAGAGGAGTTGGCATCTCTAGTAAATGAGCACGTTTCCATTATTCTTCAGGCAGTGGGAGTCGATGAACTAAAACTGATTATCTAAATGCCTTCTAGAAAAAAACTGCTGTAGCAATCTTGCATCTGGATTTCTAGAAGGACACAGCTTAGCTTGGAACTGAGCGCTTTAAATTTTTATTTTTCAGATAGGCTTGTTTGTTTGGTATCTTCTGTAATACTCTCTATGGTTGTTTGCACTCCACTCACCGATACGTGGGCTGCAGGGTTCCTCCCTTAACTATAGTTTTCCTTAATTAGTCAGAGCACTTATTTCTGGCTGATTAAGCTAACAGATTCATTGCTAACATAAGTGTTACAAACCAAAAACATGCTGTTCTAATACCGTACATGTTCCTTTGCCACCAATTAACTTTCTGTGTGTCACACAACTATTTGCCAGAACTAATGCACCATCTGTTGGAAGCTGGATTTCTCCACCCTTTAATGTGGTGCTTCATCTTTAAATCGTGTAGGCTAAAGTTCTGTGTAAAAAGATGCTACCTTCTTGTAGCCTTGTCTCCACATTTAGATACCCTTATGAATTTGGGAGAAGGAGCATCTTTTGTACCATGGAAAAAAAAGAGGCAAGGGTTATAGTTCCGTTGTTGTAGCAAACATTTTGCATGAAAGAAGTTTAATAGAGCTGTAAAAGTCTCCTGTCTGAAACGCTGGAAAATTACTTCCAGTACATATAGAGACTATTGAACCAGATGAATTAGTGGCCTGCCTTTATATAAGCCAGCTTCCTATATTCATGCATATGACACACTTCTACAAAGGTGTGCTTAAAAGTACATACAGTATATAGTCTCAACATCCTCTTGTGTTTATCTGTATGTACTTATTTATTAGTTGTTGTTTTTTAAAATCATGAATGATCACATGTTCTACTAGAATTCCTCTTCTGAGACTTTAATTTGTTGTAGTTACTTTAATAGTATTTTTATGTTAAATATTAAGAAGAAACTTACGTAGGAGCCCCTTTCTGTCAGGGAATGTGTAAGCCTTGCTTGTCCTGTTCTCTCATCGTAATGTTGGATTCAGAGCCTCAGCACCAAACTGCGCCTCTTTCCACGCTTGCCATATTCAGTGTGTCTGGAATGGGTTGTGTGTGTGTGGGGGGGGAGGAGGTTACGTGATGATTCAGCTGCGATTCCTGTTGGCTTGCTCATCAAGGTTTTCCAAGTCATCTGGGCATCTTAATGTATCAATCTCTTTCATAGCTCTTGGCCTCCACTAGAAGAGATTATGAGAAGATCCAAGAAGAACTTACTCGGCTTCAGATCGAAAACGAGGCTGCCAAAGAAGAGGTGAAAGAAGTCCTTCAGGCTCTGGAAGAATTAGCAGTTAACTATGACCAGAAGTCACAAGAAGTAGAAGACAAGATGAGAGCTAATGAACAGTTGGCTGAGGAGCTTGCACAGAAAACAGTAGGACCTATCCTTGTTCATCCTCGTATGTGTGTATGCCCCCATGATTTCCCACCTGCACCTCCCTGTGTTAATTTTCTTGAGTTAAGCAACTGACTACAGGGAGTAATTACAAATGCTATGAACGTTCATTAAAGTTGCTATGATAGAAATGGGTGTTGTAGTGGGAAGCTTCTGTCTGTATTCTACTTTTATGCTTGATGGTTTTTAATTCCTTTTTATTAGTGAGTATTGTAGAAATGTTGCAAATAAATAAACCATAAATATAATCAGGAGTAGTTGCTCTTCCCGCCAAGCGAAGGCACAGCCCTGCATGTCTCACCTTTGCCCAATCCCCAAAATAATGCGTAGTAAAAATATGAACATTGGGTTTCAAATCCAGATGAATTTTGAAAAATGTATATTTTGAAAAAGTGACATTAGAAAGAGCGCTACACTAAGAGAGAGAAAAATGTATCTAATACGAGGTCATCTTTTTGACTATATAGAGAGCTGAAATTATTGTATGTATCCTGCATTAAGGGTGATGGGCAGCTCCTGGCTGTCGCTGATGGTCGTGGTTCCTTTCAGGCCAGGGCTCCTGCCCGTTATGCATTTAAAGCAAGAGGTACAGCATAACCATAGAAGATGGAGTTCTTGCAAAAAGTGTGAAAAGTATGCTTTTTTGCCTTATTAGGTCACGATAAATCTTTTAATGCTATCCATAAACTGTTTTGCAGTCTGCCCTGATAACTACACAGAGAGAGTTGGGGCAACTGCAGGAACTTAGTAACCACCAGAAGAAGAGAGCCACTGAAATCTTGAATTTACTGCTTAAAGACCTGGGAGAGATTGGAGGAATCATTGGCACAAATGATGTTAAAACGGTAGGTTGGCTATTTTGAGAAGAATTACAAAGTGGTTAAGAGGAAAATACCCAGAAGTTGCCTATCTTCTAAAACCAGTTAAGGTTATATAGTTGGATTTCAGCTAAGCCGTTCTCATTCAAGCCCTTGGGAATGTTAAATAGGTCTTCGTCCAAATGCCTTGTTTTGAGGAACACATTTCAAAGTGCCAGTTAAACATAGGCTGCTTCAAAAATATGACATGTCATAGAAATCCTCCCCTTAGTTATTATCTATGAAGTTCTATAAGGTTTGGGTCCAATCTACCTGAAAGACTGTATCTCAGCCTCCCTAGTTCTTAAGATCATCAGAGGCTGCCTTCCTTTCAGTCCCATTGCCATCGTACACACATTTGATAGGGGCTCGACAGAGAGGGACGTTTCTGTGGAACACAAGTCTCTTGACCGGTTAGGCTGGGCCCCCTCCCTTTTATCCTTCCTCTGACAGTTGAAGACCTGCCTCTTCAGTCAGGCTTTTAAAAATCCTGTCTGACACTCTGAATGCTGGTTTTATCCAAGTAATTTTGTTTTGAAAGGTTTAAATATTTTAAATGTATTTTAATTACTATTATGGTTCAACTGCTTTTAATGTACAATTTATTGAGTTTTTAAATTTTAATTAAAATTATGAACCACCTTAAGTCTGTTCATCAGGAGAAAGGTGGCCTATAAATGAGACCAATAAATAAATAAATAAATAAAGCTTCCTACACTGGACATAGTCAGGTGCACGTGAACCTTCTTGCATATGTGCTCTTCTCCATTCATCTTGACAGAGACAGCCATTCTGTGCATCCAAATCATCCTCAATCAATCAATCAATCAATCAATCAATCAATCAATCAATCAATCAATAAAGCTTCCTACACCGGACATAGTCAGGTGCACATGAACCTTCTACATATGTGCTCTTCTCCATTCATCTTGACAGAGACAGCCATTCTGTGCATCCAAATCATCCTCTTAGTCAGGAGAGGCAGGGAAACTGGTGCATGTCCAAATAAGTACTGGATGGTTTTGGGTCTTGTGTCTGTTCTGTGCTGTCAAATCGGAACTGACTTATAGTGACCCTAACAGGGCTTTGAAGGTGAGATATTTAAGGAGTGGTTTTACCAGTTCCCCTCCCCCAGTGAGTTTCCTTGGCTGAGCAAGGATTCGAACCCTGTTCTCCAGAGTCCTAGTCCATCACTCTATCCACTACACCATACTGGGAATCCCATTATCTGCATTAGACTGAATGAAAATATATTGATTTGTCAGCATTGTTGTACCTAAGAGAAGGCGCTAGCACTCTGATCATTTTTACTGTGTAGATCGGCCCTGCAGACATAACAACAACAACAATAGTAATAGTAATAGCAGCTGTGCATAACCTCAGAAGTGATTTGTGCTAGCTCAGCATGGAGTATGCCTTTTGTTTTATTTTATTTTTACTCCTCCTTTCTCCTTAAAAAGAATCCAAAGTGGCTTACATCAATAGAAGACAATATTTAGAAGCTAAAAACAGTAAGTATACAAATATCACAAGAGAATATTTTTTTTAAAAAAAATGTTAAAACTGTAAACAAAATGAACACAAACATGTATAAAAAGCAGCAAGGCACAACAATTCTTTTAAAAGCCTCACTCGGACAACCAGTCACTAAGGGAAAGCCTGCCTGAAGAGAAAGGTCTTCATCTGTTTGTGGAAGGACAGCAAAGATGGGGCCAGCCTGGCCTCCTGTGGGAGGGAAAGTTCCAGAGCTTGAGAGCAGCCGCAGAGAAGACCTTTTCCCATGTCCCCACCAAGCGTATTAGTCAAGGCGGTGGGACCGAGAGAAAGGCCTCCCCTGATGATCTTAACATCCAGGCAGAGATAGATTGGACCCAAGCCATTTTTGGGCTTTATAGGTTAAAAACAACACTTTGAATTGTGCCCAGAAATGAATTGGCAGCCAGTGGAGGTGAAATTGTGCCTGGAAATGAATTGGCAGCCAGTCGAAGTGAAGTAATGGGGGTGGGTGGGTTATGTGATCCCTGTAGCCCCAGATCACACTGTTGGCAGCATTTTGGATCCACTGAAGTTTCCGAACACTTTCCAGAGGCATCCCCATGTGGAGCACATTGCAGTAATCCAGCTGTGATGTAATTAAGACATGAACCACTATGGCCATCAGCCCTCTCTGGGAACAGGCACAGCTAGTTTTAACTGAGTTAAAGGCACTCCTGGCCGCCACTGAAACGTGGACATCTAGGATCAGAGATTGATCTAGGAGCATCCCCAGGCTTCACATCTGTTTTTTTCCAGAGGTAATATAACACCATCCAGCAGTCTGTTTCTTACCTAGAACCTCTGACATAGTATGTGAATGAATACCCACTTCTGAGAAATATAACTGTGGTGCTGATATATTTATTCTGTCCTGCTTGTGAAATTTCCATAGCCATCTGATTTTTTTTTATCAGTGCCTTACTTATAAAACTTTTAAAAATGTTCTTGGGCAAAGGTATATTGTTAATTTTTTTTTGCCTCGCTTCCATATGAATCTCTGTGAATACAATGTTTATAGGAAGCTGGTTACAAATAAAATGATCAATCAGTCAGGCAACTGTAGGAAAATTCTGAACTGGCAGGCTGTTGGTCTGATCTAACAGATCTCTCCTCAGGCTCTTAATTGGCTTTTTGATCTCTTAATTCAGTTTCTTGACCTGCTACATATACGTACTGTCCTTTATTTCTAGTGCTTGGATATAGAATATGCCGGTCTTGCATCAGCTGTGGAGAAAGAAATTGTGTGTAATTGATAGCTGTTCCCTTCAGAATACTTGTGAGCAGGTGCTTAGCTAGTCAATAGTTGTAATTAGTTAATACTGTGAAGAAAAAGTTGTTAATTATGCACAATTCCCTCTTTCATAACTCAACCAAGACTTCTGCATTGGCCTCTGAGATCTATCTAGTGGTGCAAACAGAAGGTATGGAATCCAATGGCTAATACAATCCAAGTTTAGTTAATGCAATATTTTGCTCATGTTTTCTTGAATCTTTGTGCCCCTGCTGTGATAATTCATTTAGAAATGATAATTAAAAACAAAGTTAGTTTGATAGCATTGAAGAATTAGTGATCATGACATGAACCAGAACCAACTTTCAGGTCCAGGAAAAGAAAACATTAAAGTGGGGATATATAAGGCCACTATCCATGCACCATCAGAGGGGGCTCAGTGGATGTATCACAATCCTAATCCTAGTAGGAACCAGATAGAAACATTTCCAGTATGTGAGCTGGTGCCACAATAGATCTGTTTTGCTAAGACACCCAAAGATGGTACATTTTCTGTTGGGACTACCCTCGTAGAAGCTGAAGTTTGGTGGAACTGTCTGTCTGTCTTTCTATCTACTGATAATTGAAAATGTTGCAATAATCTCTTAACGTTTTCTAGATAGCCTTGAAGTTTTTAAAAACCTGAAATATCTGGCAGAGCAAAAAGGTTTTAATTTGGCATCGAAAAATGAGCAAGGAGTCTTATCTGGGAGGAAAATCTTTAACTTTAGCATTAGATATTAGGAAGGAACAGTGCCAATCAAGGTCATTCCTGTATCTCATACTAGCAATGTCTCAGATTTCTCTGGGATATAAACAGAATTCACTGGTACACTTCTCATTCAGCAGTTTTGTGTGCTCAGTTGGCAGATGTGAATGGAGTGATTGAAGAGGAGTTCACCATGGCACGGCTATACATCAGTAAGATGAAGTCGGAGGTGAAGTCTCTGGTGAACCGCAGCAAGCAGCTGGAGAGTGCTCAGATTGACTCCAATAGGAAAATGAATGCCAGTGAGAGGGAACTTGCTGCTTGTCAGCTCCTCATTTCACAGGTTATTGAGATGTTCTCCCCCACTCCCCTCAATCTAATTAATTTCCCCCAAGTTTTCACTGTACGTTAAACAGGGGTTTCCCCTGTCCTTCTTTTACTCACTTTCCCTTTTCAATAGCATGAAGCCAAGATCAAGTCTCTTACAGACTACATGCAGAACATGGAGCAGAAGCGAAGGCAACTGGAAGAGTCACAGGATTCGCTTAACGAAGAGCTGGCTAAACTGCGTGCTCAAGGTAGCATAGTTTTATCCATTTAGGAGTATTCTATTTCACATGTATTGAGCTGGGAAACACCCTCTTGGTTTCTCCCTTGACCCCTCAGCAGACGTGGAATTTGAGTGGGACTTCTGTCTTGCGATTGTGTTTTGCCAACCTTTTTTTTTTTCATTCCTGGAAAATACATCCAACTAGTCAGTACAGCAGGCTTTTCTGATCTAGGGGACCACTATCGGTTTGGAAACATTTATGATATATTTGAACTGCTAGTTTTGCGCATTAAAAGAAATAGGGAATACAATACAACGAAATTTGTCATTTAATGCAGCAGCCTATGAGAACCTTGTACTACAAATACTATGTGGTATGATTAAAAGCACAACTTTCTTTTGGCATCTTTGCCGTTGCATGGCAAAGGCCACAAGACTGTTGAGCCGCAAAAATATCAAAGCCATTATGAAATTGTGTCACCACATTTTGTACATTTTGGTATTGTATTTACTTACTTTCTGAGGTTTGTAATTTGCCCTTCAGTGTCGATTGGCACTGGCATACACATTCCCACCTGTCCCTGTGTTGTTTCATCAAGCGAAGGTTTGCCAACCTTTGTCTTGTCGCTGCCACCAGTTGATTACATCAACATTGTCTATTATTAATGATAGAGGTCCAGGCAATGTGTCATTTTAAAAAGAACCAAATGGAAGTTGTTTATTAGTACAGGTGATGAAGGTACAGTCAATGTTGTTAACTCTGAACACAGCTCCTACAATCATCCACCCTCAACCGCCAGCCCTCTCTTTCCACTCCCAAACTCCAAATACACAAATCCCCCCTCTTCACCCTCCTGCCGAGACACTTCTATCTGGTGACTCCGCCTCTCCAGCATTCTCATTGGTACATGCAGATTGTCTATTAATATTCATGACCTGGGCGGGCGTCACACTGATGTTCCTGAAATTAGCCCTAAGGATTTGCAACAACGTGAATTGGCAACAGCTGGCAGGTGAATACTGTAGAAGAAAGATGGTTGTATCGTTACATAACTGGGCGGGCGTCACACTGATGTTCCTGAAATTCGGTGTTGGTCTGAGAAATTAGCCCTAAGGATTTACGACAACGTGAATTGGCAACAGCTGGCAGGGGAATACTGTAGAAGAAAGATGGTTGCATCATTACATAACTATTACATAACTATTTGTAATAGTTAATATGGCACTGGAGAGGACATACTTTGTTCTTGAAAAGTTCAAGTTAGCAGTATCTTAGCTCCACATTTTCTAGCAAAACATCTCAATTTGGATAACTTGATTCACTTCAGTTTTACTGACAATGTAAATAAGGGCAAGGTAGATACACTTACATGTAAGAGGAATTTACAAATAGAAATGTTTAAGCAAAATGTTTCAGTTTCTGCTTTCTTCAGTTGCTCAGGTAAACATATATTATTTCCCAGATGGGAATTTTAAAAAAACTAGGGGACAGGGTGATTAATGATGTTACGTGTTGCTTTCTAGGTTAAGTCCATGAGTTGTTGTTAAGGTGGCCAGTCTGTAAATCCAGAATTTTTTCTTCTTCTTCTTTTTAAAATGTGTTTGGGTTTGGTAGTACTGTATTTCTTTTCCAATCAAAAACAAGTCGGGACAAGGTAGAAATATGTCGAAAGACACTTTCTGTTTGCAGAAATAGTACTTGTTTGGAATTGAGTGGCATTGTGCTAAGTGGTTCCACAATGAATAGAAATTGCTCAGCTCTTAATGTTTGTTTTAACAGAAAAAATGCATGAAGTCAGTTTCAAAGATAAGGAGAAGGAACATTTGACAATGCTGCAGGATGCAGAGGAAATGAAGGTAACACTGGATTACCCTCCCTCCTGCCACCATGTCCCAGTTTCTTTCTAAGAAAGCTTCTCAGACTGATGATTAAAGTAAAAACAACAAAGAGTCTTGTGGCACTTTAAAAACTAAGAAGTCTTAATTGGATGTTGGATGTTAGTGCTAACAGAGAGCACATAGCCAGCATGTAAATGTATAAATAAATAACATCCCTGCCCACAAACATATTAATGTTCTTGAAATAGTAAAGGAATTCTAGTGCCAACATGCTACACCAAACATGCTGGCATGTTCGTTCTGACTTACAGTGATCCAGGGTTTCCTATGTATAGAGTATGCAAAAATAGTTTTACTAGTTTCTCCTTTTGCTTGTGGCTTGGGACTGGACCTAGTCATGCAGATGTCAGGACACGTAACCTCATTTACTCTGTGTGATCTTTTTTCCCAGAAGGCACAGTGAGGATTTGAGGTCCTTGTCTACAGCCATGTGTTCCAATCCTCTGAACATACCATCTCTTCCACCATAATCACATCTTAAAGTTTATATTATCAGATTTTGCAGTATGATCTGGTCACATCGATAGTGGCTATGGCAGTATCTCATCAGAAGTACTGACAAGACTCTTCCTGCACATCTTAATAATTTGTTTCATTAGGTAGACTAAGGCAATGTAAGAATTTGGTATGGGAGCCGTAGTGGACGAAGCTCCTCTCCTTTGAATTCTTAAGAGGCTTTTGGATCCACAATAGAAACTCCCTCTAAAGGAGAAGAAATCCATTTGCATGCAATTATACAGGCCAATCCAAACAATTCTAGAAGGTGAAAGGAGCTCATGGTGGGGTCTCTGGTTCCAAACTACTTTGGGAAGGCTTTGTTTAATTTTTTTAAAAGGTAAGTACTTGTTCAGAAAACAGATAAACTCATGTCAATATCTTCATCTCCCTCTTCTGTGAATAGAAGACACTGGAGCAGCAGATGGAAAGTCACAGGGAAGCCCACCAGAAACAGCTGTCTAGGCTGCGGGATGAGATTGAGGAGAAACAGAAAATCATTGATGAGATCAGAGAGTGAGTTCACGTTTTGTTCATCTTTTCCCAAAGTGCATACACTTACACGCATGCACTCATGCACACACCACCACCACCGACATATATTTATTTCCAGTATTGTTCTGGTACTAATTTAAATAACAGAAAACATGAAACTATGTTAGCCATAAATTGCTCCCAATTTAAAATAATAAAAAGTAATCTGCATCTCTGCCCATTGTTGGTTGTAGAACCCCAGTATGTGCTCTCTTGTGATTCTTTAGACCTTTTTGCTGTGCTGTTCTCTAGCAATACATAGTAGTGGTGCAGTAATCTAAAGTCACCTTTTTCTTTGTTTTCCTATCCGGCATTAAGAAATCTCTCATTCAAGAGCTGTCTGTTTCTGTAGACCATGGGTGGGCATGGTTCTCCAGATATTATTGGATTGCAGTTTGCATTATCACAGTCAGCATATCCTATAGTTAGACTCCATGAAGGTCACCACATCACCCACCCTGGCCATAGATGTTATAGACATTTAAACTGCTGTTCAGTTTCTTTCACTGACGATGAAAAGTACGCAACACTTCTCCTTCACTGCTACCTTTCAGATGCTGCTTATTTTCACACATAATGCACTGACGATGAAAAGTACGCAACACTTCTTCTCCTTCACTGCTACCTTTCAGATACTGCTTATTTTCACACATAATACACTAGATAACACTGTCACAGGCTGCAACTTGTACCCAGATGAGAAATTGATAAAGGTGTGATAAAGACAAAGTTATTAGAATTACAGATGCATGCATCTTGCTGTGAATTTTTCTCCATCCAGTTGCTCCTGAATACTTTTATTCATATGCAGGTGTGATTATATGAGCAAATGTATTGTGTGATTTAATGATGCATGAACACATCTACTAGGCTGTCATCATTGCTGTAGGTGACTTTGCATAATTTCTGGAAGAAAAGCAGTGGGTGTGTGACTTGAATAAAACCCATGGCCATTGCTTATGTGGCATTCAGGTTAATACGAGGAATGCAAGAATATGTGTGTGTGTTTGGGGGCCCCATTGGGCATGGTGACATTTGAATTAGTGGAGATTAATGACCTATTTGTACAGTGGGATTAGATTTTTTTTCCTGCTTTGCATCAGCAAGACAAGCAAGAATCAGTAGAATTATGATTGTGAATTGTTTGTTCATGAATAAATAGAACATTTCCAAAATGCAAAATGAAAATCTTTACTAAATGAGTATCTCAGAGAGTAAGTGCTGTGGGTGACTTTGCTCTAGCGTCTTGGGTGGTATTTTTTTTCCTCCCACAAGTAACAACCTGTTTCTAGCTTCTTTACTTTTTTTTCAGCATGAATCAAAAGCAGCAACTGGAACAAGAAAAGCTGAGTTCTGATTATGAAAAATTAAAAATAGAAGACCAAGAAAGGGAGAAGAAGCTGGAAAAGCTCATGTGAGTTGACAGAGCCTTCTCTTTGGCTGAGGGCTGATGGCTCCCATTCCAATAAAGTTCCATCCAGGGAGTCATCTTCCTCTCACAGGGTGATTCTTTTGTCACTCATGATCCATTCTCGGGCTGTAAGGCAATGAAGATGGATTGGGCTGTCCTCTCTTTCTGCTGTGGCCAGCCAATGAGCTTTGTGCTTCAGTCGGGACTTGAACCTGGATCTCTGTTGTTCCAGGCCAGCACTGTAATCAAAATACCGCATGGTCTCTGGAAGGGATTCTAACTGCCTCCCACAGTGGTCCTCTAGTGCACTGGTTCTTAACCTTCGGTTACTCAGGAGTTTTGGACTGCAACTCCCAGAAGCCTTCACCACCAGCTGTCCTGACTGGGGTTTCTGGGAGTTGCAGTTCAAAAGCATCTGAGTAACAAAGGTTAAGAACCACTGCTCTAGTGCAGTGGTCCCCAACCTTGGGCCTCCAGATGTTCTTGGACTTCAACTCCCAGAAATCCTGGCCAGCAGAGATGGTGGTGAAGGCTTCTGGGAGTTGTAGTTCAAGAACATCTGGAGGCCCAAGGTTGGGGACCACTGCTCTGGTGCACAGGTATTAGCATAAGATAGCATATTAATTAATTAATTAATTAATTAATTAATTAATTAATTAATTAATTAATTGCCCGGCCAATCTGGTCAATATGACCACTCTAGGCTGCTGTGCACTAGAGGATTGTGGGAGGAACGCTTAGCCCCTGATGGGGGTCCTGCAGGGCACCCCAAAACACTGAGGAGCTCTCTTGGCCTCTGGCAGGACTGGGGCTGTGCAGCCCTGTACTGAGTGGGAGGTGCAGCTGGGGGGTCACCATGACTTGGGGGGGTCAGGGGACAGAAGGGGGTATGAGGTGAAAGGGCCATTCCAACTCATACCTTGCAGGGGAAATACCATGTCATATATTTAAAAAGTGCTGGTCCTTCTGCAGCCATAATGGCACCATCCATGCACCAAAGAGAGGTATCAGGTGGCTTGGGAAAAATTCTGACGTTTTCAAAAGTGCAATGAAAAGGAAGAACATAAAGAACAGAGGGCCCCTAGTAATATTGTAATAAGGATTGAGCATTTCAGTGACTGCAGAATGCTGAATGAAAGGGAATATTTTCTTTGTTTTGAAGAACTGCTGTGAAAGCACAGTATTTTAGCCCTCACCAACTTCCTTTTGGCAGTGGGGTCTTTTAAAATGCAGGGCTTCCAGAGTGCCCGGAAGAGATGGCTACACAGGTTCTTCTCAGGTGTAGGGATACATAAAAGGGATAAGACTGTTCACGCTCCCAGGAGCCACATTATCCTTACTTAGTTTTTCGGTTATGCAGCATTTTTTTCCTCTGTCACCAGATTGCTTAATGATAAACGGGAACAGGCAAGAGAAGATTTGAAGGGACTGGAAGAAACAGTGGTATGTATTTAACAAACCTGCAGTGGTGTTTCTTAGAGAAAGGCCACCATCCATTTCATACCTCAGTTTCGTATTTTTCTTGTATTTTCCTTCCGGTGTCTTAAAAGTCAGTGGTTCAAACTGTTTTCTGAAATACACATCATCTTTTCTCTTCTGTATCTACTGTGTGATATCGTGACTATATTCTTCATAATAATAATAATGCCATTTGTAGTGATACTCAGTTCCCTATTTTCAATCACTATCTCTATCAGACTTTATCAGGCAAAACCCAAAGAAAAAACACAAGACAAAAACACCTGGCACCTTAAAGACTAACTGTTAGATTTTAATGTGAGTTTTTGTGGGTCATGTCCATTTCATGGTCTATCAGTGTTGGTTTTGGGCATAAAGTTGGTTATCAATAATATATGTTAAATTAGGTATAAATAGATTATATATTATTGTCTCTTTAATGTTATTTCTGTTGTCTGTAATGTTTATCATTTCCAAATTCATCATCTTTAAACAAATTTATGATGAAATACTATTTCATCACAGCACCAAATGGATACATGCCATTGTGCATTATATGTTAACAGTGGTCTCTGTGGCTTTATTCAAGCATTGGAAAGCGTGTCATCTCTGCCTCAGAAATGGGGAAAGGGAGATTATTACTCAGCTAGCAACTCCTCCATTGTCTCCATTTTTGTCATACTGCACTTCATAGCTTCTCCCTGACATCTAAATAACACAGAGAATGCCATCCATTCCACTGTATTGGACCACAGTAACGCTGCAATGAAACATTTCAGATACCCCCTGTTAAGAACACTGTACTTGTAGGACACCTTTATTTGTATTTCTTAGCTGTAAGGCACAGATAGGTGACTTTTGGAGGGCATTTTCCACCACTTGCACACCCCACTTGCACACCCCACCAGCCCTTCTTGTAAAATCGGGCATTTTCCACCACTTGCACACCCCACTGAGGGCCACACCAGCCCTTCTTGTAAAATCCAAAAGTAAAAACCCACTTGCAGTTTTTGCATGGGTGTGTATTTTACAGCAAACCGGGTACGTATTTTTTATATTAGAGATGCATCATGCACCTTGAAGAAGTCTGGAGCTATGATTTTTTTTTCATTTCCTCCTTTAAACCTGTGGTTAGGGTGGGGGCACATGCAGCTCACAGGGAGGGCTTTTGCTGTGACATCATGTGCTTTTCCAATATTTGTTCTTACAGGCTAGAGAGCTTCAGACCCTCCATAATTTACGCAAACTCTTTGTCCAAGACCTCACCACCAGAGTGAAAAAAGTAAGTTGTGGCTTCTGAAGCAGGCAAATGATACAAACATAACAAACTTCTCTAATTTGCTTTGGCCAAGCAATGGTACCGATTACTCCAGTGGAGGACAACTGTGTTTTGACTAAATATATTCTCAGAAGCAGGTATGTAAATAAGTGCGATGCCATTAGCATCTCATCCCAAATACTGAAGGAGAAAGCATCTTTGAAAGGGCATTTTCATAAATGGTGGATTTACACCATGGTAGCAGAAATCAGTGGTTCCTTGTATGTAGTCCTCAGGAATATCACAGGGCCACACTATACTTCCCTGTAGTGTTTGATGAAATAATCAAAAACCCCTGATTTGTGTTCTTATTTAATCAAATAATTAATTAAAGCCACATGTTGAAATAGTAAATGGAATCTTAAAGATCGTGAATCTTAAATATTTGCAAATCTGAATTGTGAAATGGATCGTTTTAAAAGAGTTGGCACAATATTGTTTTTCTTGTTCCCTTGAGCCACTGGTTCTTAACCTTGGGTTACTCAGGAGTTTTGGACTGCAACTCCCAGAAGCCTTCACCACCAGCTGTCCTGACTGGGGTTTCTGGGAGTTGCAGTTCAAAAACATCCGAGTAACAAAGGTTAAGAACCACTGCCTTGAGCAAGACATGTTTATAACCCAAGATTATTGAGTTATTGATGCAGAAATATAACAATCTAGTCAGACTAAAATGTTTTGCCATTGCTAATATGGCAGATCTAGCCACACCGCCAGTCACTCCGATAATACTAGTTTTAGTCTGTAATGCCATTATAATGACTATGACTATTCCTCGCAATTGTGTACTTTTTAACAACAGTTTATTTTCTCTATTCAGACGCTCAATTCAAATTTGTTTCTTTGCCTACACAGAGTGTGGAGCTGGACAGTGATGATGGAGGTGGGAGTGCTGCTCAGAAGCAGAAGATTTCCTTTCTGGAAAACAATCTGGAACAACTTACGAAGGTTCACAAACAGGTGGGAATATCACTGGGGTAGTTTACTAACTTGTTTGCTGACACTTTTACTTATTCTACCTGCCTTTGAGAGAGAGAGAGAGAGCATACAAGTCATCCAGCAAACAAACAGAAATAATTTCAGGATCACAAGGATTTAAAATAAAAGAGTGCTTTTGCTTTCTGGAAATAGCCTGTTGGAACTGAAGTAGGGAGAAAGCAACCCAAATTCAAATGTTGGTTTTCTTTTTCATCATTAAACAGTAGCCTAAATCTCACTGGCATTTTATGTCTACATAAATACAAATTGCATAATTTTGATCTTAAATTGCTGCAGGTAATGAAGTCAAATGTAAATTAAACAGGGATTAAAAGCCGTGGGGGATGGAGAGAAAATGCAAAGTGGTGTGTCATGTTAAAAGTTATTTTCGTGTCCATTGTCTTGGATCAGCATCCACTTCTTCAGACACAAGGGATGCAAATAACCATATCTTCAATATTTATACATATCCTCATAATGGTAGGCGTCATGACCAGATGAGGATACAGATAGACAGGTGGACAGACTTAAGAAGTGGATTTTGATCCATGAAAATAAATCAGTATTTAAGATGCCACAACATTTTGTCCCCTTTTTGCTCCTTTTTCCCCTTTTCTCTCCTTTAATTTCGCAAACCTACTCAGAAAGACTAACATGGCTGTTTATTTGGAAGTCAACATAAAGATTTGCTTACATTTGTTTATTTGTTGCATGCTGAGTACTGCAGTTAAGCAAACAACGAATAGTGTCTGGGATAACTTCAAAAGTGGCAGCAGTTCACCTACAAAAGTCACACTATTTGTGTTAATGCTAACAGACGTAGCTAATAGCATTTGTTTTAAATGGGGAATTGATTATAACTCACCCTGAGATCTTCAGAAACAGGATGGGACGTAACTATTGTTCTGTAGGCATGTGCATAAAAATGGCTTGGACTTAAAGTGTTCTTTGTCTTGCAGCAACATTTTCCAATAAATAAATTCAATTTATCTTTATCTCAAACTATAAGAGGATAGCTGCCTGTTGTGTTAGCACTGTTCCCATCTAAGAGAGCTTTAGATTCTCTGGATACCTAAAAACAAAAGGCTGGACTCCTCATGCTGGCAGTCTGAGTCTCATCCAACTCTTAAGCGCATGATTTAGAAGAGGAATAGTACATGGTAATGACCAGTGCATTCAGTAAATGTTACATTACACCTACCTTTCCTGTGGCTGACTGTAAATATTACATTCTATGCACAGACGCTGCCAAAAGAGATTTCTAAGTGGCAACACTCCAGGTGGCTGGCAGAACATATGAAACTATTTTATTATGTGTGCTACCCAGTTACATTCAGCCATCTCTGTGCTAGTGCTATATATCTATATGGCTGTCGTTTGGGAATACTGCAAGAGCCAGTGTGGTGTGATGAATAGAATGTCAGAGTGGGACTCAAGGGACTTGATTTCTGATTCCTGTTCAGCTGACGAGGAGATGGTAATGATAAAAACCAGCCCTTGATATCTTGCATGCCTTGAAAACCCAATTAGGGTTATTGTACATCAGAAGCAACTTGATAAGCATATGGAAGTAAGTACTGCACCCTGTTAAACTAGTGAAAACGTCAATGGTCTTTGAAATGTTACAGCTATTGTGTTATAACAAGGAAGCACATTTTAGTGGTCTGCATGTGTGGGTTCTGAAATTCTGATCTCCTCCCTTCTCCATTTCCCTATTTTTATCTTTCCCCCTTTTTCCTTTCCTTGAAATCACCATAGTGGGTGTGGGACAGATCACAAGTTAGCTTCCACATGGACACAGCAGTGCTAAGAAGAGTAGCAAAAGCAGAGGCAAGGAGATGAGATGTTAACATCATTGTAAACTTGTGTCCATAGTTTGACTGTAGAGCGTTGGAGAATTTTGAGTTTCTGATAAACTTCTCATTTGGCTACACAGTAGAAGTACACAGATCCACAGAGGAGAATTTGTAGGAGAAAGAATAATAAACATTTCTTTACTTACAGGTGCTTGAAATTACAGTTTTGTGTATACTAGCGATGGTGAACCTGTGGCATGGATGCCACAGCTGGCACGCAAACCATAAGTTGCTGGATTGCCACTCCCCCCCCATGCAGCCAAACCTGAGAAGGCAGCTGCAGCCGCAGTACTGGTGCTTCAGCAGGCAAATCTGGAGCAGCTGGCACTGACAGCGGATCTGGGGTGGGGTCTCGAGGCACCTCCGTGGCGGGATTCTCCCTTCCGCTGCCACTTCCGCAGCCGCTGCGGCACACCGCCCACTGGTCCTCCCTCCCAGTTTGGGCACGTGAGCCCAAAAAGGTTTGCCACCACTGGTGTACACTATTTTCTTTATTGCACACATGCTAGCAACCAAACAAGCAGGTCAACAGCAACAAACCACTGCCACTAATCAATGAAAGATGTTGATAGAACAGTCAGCAGAGAGGCAGGGTCCTCTTTGAATTTCAAATGCTGGAAGGAACGATTGGTTAGTTCTGGATAGATAGTCTCCCCAGCCCAGGAAAGTCCTTACCAGTCACTCAAGCTACAGACAGAATGCGAGGTTGTAAATAAAAGTGCAGCATGAAGTTGGAAAGATTCTGCCTTCCAAATAAACCTGGTATATGTGACTTTTTTCTTGTGGATGACAGTCTGGAGAAGAAGGAAGAGTAGATCATCAAGTTCAAATAAATGTGAAAAAAAGGCCATCTGAATAGGCTTTGTGCCCTTTCTTTGGTTTAAGCTGAATTTTTAAAATTCATTTTAATGAGTTAATTAACAACCAGCTCTTTAAAAAATCTTTTAAAGCTGGTACGTGATAATGCAGATCTTCGTTGTGAGCTTCCTAAGCTGGAAAAACGACTTCGAGCTACAGCAGAGAGAGTTAAGGCCTTGGAGAGTGCACTGAAGGAAGCCAAGGAGAATGCCATGCGAGACCGGAAGCGGTACCAGCAAGAGGTCGATCGCATTAAAGAGGCAGTGAGAGCCAAGAACATGGCAAGGAGAGCACACTCTGCTCAGATTGGTAGGTGTTCTTACCTAAGAGGATATTAAAAGATTGTGGCATGTCCCAGGAAAGCTATGGGGTTCTCCGATTCCTTCAGTATTAAACTGTTTGATGTGTTAGGACAGTATAAGACTTCGTTTTGGAAGAACGTTCTTGCAATGTGGCTCAAGAGGCTCAGGATTTCGTGTTTATGACACCCATCTTTAAACCTTATTGTGTTAAAGCTTACTGTAGTGTCCTGTCTTGCTCATGCGTACAGTTGCTAAGAGAGGATGTATGTCCCTCTCGGCTAAACTGAACTTCACTGGATAAGGGTTTATAGACATTTAGGGCCAACCACAGAGAAAGCCCCGACTTTACTGACAGGCTTATGAATTGAATGTCCCTGATGGGCGCCTACTCAGAAGCAGCACCCAGAGAAGGTGGGGGCAGGGAAGCCAGGGTGCTGCCTCTGAGTGGGCGCCTGATGGAGGAGGCGGGGCTTGGAAGTGCCAAATGTCCATGACTGATCTTTGGGTTGGGCAGGTTACAATGAATTTAGTAAGTTTATGAACACTGCTATTTTTATATGTTATCGTTCTCTGTGTGTGTTTCTTGTTGGCCATGCTGGACTTTCCAGAGAAAGGAAAAGTACAGTCTAAAATATTGAAATGAAATGAACAGTGCTTATGTGGCTTGTCTAAACTGATTTTCCTCTTGGTGGCTTTGATTCTTCTCTTTTCACAGCCAAGCCTATACGCCCTGGCCATTATCCAGCATCTTCTCCAACAGCCATCCATGCCATTCGAGGAGGGGGAGGGTATTACCACAACATGAAATGAACACCAGGTGAACTCATGGGTAATCTGTTGTTCTCAATGTATGTTTCTCAGAGAGTAGTTTACTTACATTATTCCACATTCTTACTGGCAGAAAATTTGAGGGTGGAGAGTTGGCTTATTAGGGTGGATACAAATCAATGATCCTTTAAAATCAAATTGATTTAAATCATGGTTTAAATAAAAAAAATTTAAATTGTAAAAAAATCCAAAATTTTAAATTTAAATTGTGACTTAATTCAATTTTATCTCGATTTAAATCATGGTTTAAATTTTAAAAAATCATTAAAAAATTTTAAATTGTAAAAAATTCCAAAATTTTAAATTTAAATTGTGCCTTAATTCAAATTTTATCTAAATCAGATCCACCCTGCTTTTAGGGGTTGGGAGTAGAAGCTATGTACTGCTTTGTGTTCAAAAACGTTGGTGGTCTGTTTTGTGGTTGGAAGAAGGATTGGGTTGCTGTTTGTTTATTTATAGGTAAAAAACATACGTAGGCAATTTTGCTCCTGCAAAAGCAGTGGATCCTTAGCAAGAGCTGCAAAAACAGCTAGTGGATCTAGCTGTTTGGAAAAAGTTTGGAAAATAGGACAAGGTCCCAGGCATTACAGTTCATCAGTTACCAAAATAAACAACGATGCTGAGGTCATACCTATACTTTATTACCCAGAAAGGCCCCTTCCTTCTGAAATGGACACCAAACTATCAGTGTACTGAAAGGCTGAAGATGTACTTAATTGATTAGGTTTTTGGTTTTCCCTAAGAGAGATAGGTACACTTCAAGGAAATCTGAAAGTAAGACCTTTACAAGGATAGTTCTTCCTATTTTAGCCCTCTACAGTAGCAACATAATAGACTTCCAAGGGTAAATAGTGCTGCAAACTGATAAACAGCTTGCTGGAGGCCTTTGGGCAAAAAGTAAAATACATTTCCGGGCTTTTCCTTGGAAAACTGAAGATAATGACGCCTACATTTTAATCCCTCTGTCCCTTTCAAACATATTATTAGGAATTTTCATCGGTAAAGGATGAGCATATTTAGGCATCTTTGTTTGGGCACAAGCAAGAAATTAAAATTCTGTGCATGTGTCAAGAGTACAGGTGTACTTCAGACGTTTGGTGCTTCCGAGCCCCACCTCCTTTGCCAGGCACCCACTCAGAGGCAGCACCCCAGCTTTCCTGCCCCACCTCCTCCAGGCACTGCTTCTGAGTGGGCGCCCACTGGGGGAGGCGGGGCCCGGAAGCATTAAACCCCTGTTTTTCCAAAGGCCAAACCACCCAACCGGGGGTTTGTGCCCATCTCTAGTCAGAAGTGCTAGTGGCAAACATTTAGCATAAAAGCAGAATGTGCATGAATAAACTTTACTTTAGACTAGAGGTGGGAACCCTGTGGCTTGTGAACTTTAAAAAAAAATACAACCCCTCCAGCTGGATCCCTTCTCTGTGGGGGGAAAAATATCTGGGAGTGACAATTCACTTTTTAAGCCACTCCCACCCCAGGTTACCTTTTCTAACATTAAAAAGAGAATTCTTTTCCTTCTAACTTCTGACCACTTCTAATTTGGGTTGTTGTTGTGTTTTTGGGTTTTTTGGGGGGGAGAACGGGAGGAGCATAGTGCAGGACCCTGTGGACTCTGGTCATGGGAATTGATGTCTGACCCTCAGGGCCTGCTCGCTCGTGATCTAGAACCAGCTGACTGAGTAACGGGAGTAATTCTAAGGGCCAGGCCAAAGATGATAGTGTGTTTGATTTTATGTAAATGTCATATATATTCTTTTAGCATAGTCAATGCAATTTTCATATACACATGGATTTCTATATGTGAAGAAACTAGCTTGTTCTTTTCCACCAGTTGAGATGTACCCTGGTTTGGTTCATGTGCCATCCTATGGGTTATTTAATTCAGAACAGTTTCCTTGTTCGGTCATAACAGGAAACCATTTTAAATCCAAGAAACTCTTGAAGTCTGGCATGTTGCCTTGTAAAGCCTCATGATTAAATTACACGAGTCTCACTTTTGGTAACAGATAAAATTTACAGAAAGCCCTCCTCTGTTTCTACTTCTTTCTTGGCCCCTTCAAGTACTACTGCTGGGATAATGAATTCAGGAGCAAAAAAGAATAATTTCTGTTTTGCAACACTGTGTCATTAAAGTTTACATTTATATGCCAATTAAATACTTCACATTCGTAATACATGGAGCTAACACATTTTTAATTTTATTTTATTTTTTGCTTCCCCAGACAGATCAGGTTCCATTTTGCACATGAAAAGCTGTCATCAGCTCCCTAATTCTTTTCCTCTTGGATTGGATCTGTACTTCTGTTCATTGTATGCATTCTGTTGCCATCTGCAGTGCACTGGTTTCATCATTTTTCAGCTTTGTAGAATCTCCCTCTGTACAGAAGTGTGCCCACACCAACTTTTCATCTAAAACCGTGTACAGTGTATCTAACACATGCGCCGAGGCTTAACCATAGGGATCTGCTGCTCAATCTCTATCACTTGACTGACACTGCTGTGTCCATTATGCTGGAGCTTTTATACTGGCACAGATGCTCTTTTATTGGTTTTGCTTTAAGTACTCCAGTGAATCAGTAGAATTCTGGCATCGAAGAAGGCATTCAACAACCAAGTGCCATCAAAAGCAGTTGATTGTGTTTCATCACAACTTCCTGATTTCCTGTATAATATGCATATTGTTTTATATTTTTAGAGGACAACAGTGTGCAGCTGGGTGGTTAAAAAAAGAGAAAACCTTCCTTGCTTTCAAAAAATAAAATTCCTTGAAGATGAGTTTTTAATATGTTGGGGAAATCTTTCAATTTGTATTTAAAATAGTTGAAAATTCAGAATCATTAGTATACATATTTGGTGGAGTTCAACCTCTAGGGATGTAGAGGAAGGTACTGCTAGTGTAGCTCTAGAGCTTAGAAGTTCGGTGGTTGCATGGGTGCATCACAATTGCAAAGTTTATTCTTTGATCATTTGCTTGGAAAAGGATCTCCAACCACTATGACCAGTGTAGTCCAAATAATAATAATAATAATAACTTTTCCAACCTGTGAATGCTCTGTGGTAAGGCTTACATCTCTGACATTCATGTAGAGCCATGGTTCTTATTAAAATGACATTGAAAAATACATTTAATTTCAAGAGCAGCTACCTGTTTCCTTCCCTACCCAATTTCTATATGGTTTTAAGAGACTCTCTTAGAAGTTGGAAAGATGAGATAGAAATCTGCTGGAATAAAGTAAAATGTTATCCAGGATGTTGAGCTGAAATTATGCGTGCTTCATGTGCAGTGCAAAATAAACTTGGATGGAAAGTACCTTTTGGTTTTCAGTGAGATAAAGGTACATTTATAACAGTATATGCTAGAGCTGAACAATATGCAAGTCTGTCCCAGGATAGTATAGTTTTAGCTCACTTAATTAATAGACACACAGTTAGGCTGCTTTTGGATTCTTTCCTAATGACGGACAATGGAATTTATTTTTAGTGGGATACAACCTAGTAACAGAAAATATAGGTAGACAGACGGGTGTAAAATCTGTAGTTTAATATGTCTTTTCTGCTTCTTTCATGTGTTACATATATACATTTACAATTATGTACATTAAAAAGTATCATCTGGAAAGAATATGAGTTTCAAAATGACTAAATTGGTGTTTATATTCATTCAGTCCTATCAACTACTGTGGCTATGTATTTTTCTTCAATTAATTGTAGTTCTGGGGCTTCTGAATGTGTTTGGCTGATAGACATTTCAAAACCTAATCTGCTCTAAAGCCTTTTGGAAGTTTGTGAATTTACTTTAGTCATTTCATTCTGATACTGCTTAGAAGCTCTGGGCAGTAATAAAGAAGATTGGGCTTTGTTTAATTTATTAAGGGTTGCACTATTTGCGGGGGGAATGGGAGAAACTTTTGTTATGTATTTAATGAAAATTTGCAAATGCTGCATTTGTTTAACTTATTTTGTTAACTTTTTAGATCTTGTTTTTTTTCTTAATACACATGTATATTGTACTGCCAGCAAATTGAAATGTGAATTTGCCACATTCAATCCCTATACCTGTGATTAATGTGGCCAGTCTTTTACATACATAGTTGAACTGTGCGTTAGAAGGGGTGAAAATATACCAGAAAGCCACTTGTTATTTCTGTTCCTAAAACAATGGTCTTAACTGCCAGTGTATATGCCATAATAACTAGATTGTGTCTAGTTGATATTTTCCATGTGGCCATGTTCCAAATTGAAGCCATAACATTTACAGTGATTTAGCACATGAACTTTCTGCTTTCCATGGAACATTGTTCAAGAAACTCAACGCCATTGGAGCGATCCATACAGAAAAACTGTTTAAATACAACATATAGCAGCTAAGCTACACAGGGGCCATGTCACATAACCTCCATGTCAGGGAGTATGGTATCTAGATGAGCAGATGGGGAGCATTCACTCAAGTCATGATGTATTAATTTTCTCATGGTCTAGCTGAGCTACTGTTAAGTACTTTACCACCACCTCATGTGTATGTTTCATGTACTTTTAAATAGAAGTTCATTAAAATGAATGCAACCCATTAAATATCATACTTCGTGCAGGGTACAAGTGCAGGGATTTATCCTAGTGTTACTATAGTTACTAAATTGGATGCTTCAAGAAAGACTGTGCCTATTGTAAGTTTTATGGAAAAATCAGCTTTAATGCCTTGGTAAGGACAATCAGTATTCCTGATTTCTCTTTGAAGCAGCTAGTTGCTGATCAGCCAGTCAGTTCATCTAGCTTGAGTTCCTTGGCTGAGGCTTTAGGACTGACTTTTCCGTTTTGGTTCAAAAATGGCAGTTTTTTTACTTTGAAAAGCTGGAAAGGTATGCTATATTGCAGGAAGACCTGAAAGCTGGATTTTTAGAATGGTTTCTCCCATTTGCATCACGGTAAATGTTATTTTGCTGCTAGAGTTACTTGGTTATATAAGAACTGTGGATCTAATTTCCTTAAGAGCACTGTTTTAGCTTACCTCTGGAGTACTATTTTTATTGTTTTTCATACATTTAAACTGAAATGTTATCTCAGTTTTAGTTAATTCATACTGTCCTTTTGAGCCTTTCCCCATTGTTAATACATTCAATATAGTTTATTTTGACTTAACCAATAGAAACAGTCTTGCATCTGTAACTTGATGTGCTAGTTGACATGCTAGAATTACAGTGTGAGATGTCTTTGTTTCTCTACCTGATTTCAGTTGTTCCTTCTTACTTGCCAAATTTGTCATTCTCGTAATCATTTTCAGGTGCATTTTTACTTAATATTATAATTTTGCGACTGAGACAAATGGAAAAATCAAAACTATGTTTGCTAAAGGTGTGTTTTGTCATGCAAAGGCGAGAATGGATTGTTCTGAATATATAAACTGAAATAATTTAAGTACTTAAATTATAGGAGTATCTAAAAGCTGATTGGCTTTGGAAACATTTTCAGTATATATACTGTACATTGTTGAATGGGGGAGGGGAACAACTTGAAAATGTAAAATTCTTGGAAATCTATTTCAGAATTGATCTCTAAATGGAGAAAAATCCCCAAACCTTATCGTTTACATTTCATATGGCAAATGGCTAGACCTAAATCTTAAAGAGATGCCACCACAAGATCGGCTTTCATTATTTATTTATTTATTTATTCAATTTATATGCCACCCACACTATCCAGAGGTTACTGAGCTTCTTTAGTGAGCTCCCCTTGCTAGCTGAGCTGAAGCAGAGATTCTTCAGCAAGGGCAAGGTGGATTTGGCCCTATCCATACTCTTTTAGGCAGTAGGATACAGAGAAGTCTATAAAAAGTCCGAAGTAACCGTTCCCATCAGAATTGTAAAATGATGGGGCCTGCAGGATGATGTTCTCGCCTTTGTGCTGATAATTAGGTTTTATTTAATGCATTTAATGAAGCTTAGAAACACACTCGATTAATGTCTGTCTTAAACACCACTTACACTATACTACTTCCAAGCTAGCCTCTTACTCCTTAAATACTTCTGTCTGTCATTTCTGAAAACTTTTCATAGTAGAAGATGTGAGAGAATAGAGATTCAGGCATTCTGTAGAAGTATAAATGTCTAGGTGTGTAAAGTGTGTAATGTGTACTCCAGATGTGTATTGTCTGGGATCTACATATCTCTACAGTAGCTTGTTTTAGGGGGGGAAACTGAAATGTGGATACTTTTTGGATGGTTACAACCTTGGGAGAAATTGTCACTATTGTAAAAGATGCTGTGATAAATTAAGCTCTGTAAAAGCAAACCTGAACTTCCCCCTCCCATCCCTATAGGGTAGGTCTTTTGATCTGAGTTCTAAAATACTATCTATTAAAATGTATGGATACACTGGCAGACTGCATGATGTATCATCCAAAAATTGTTTAAAATGGAAATAAAATTGAAGTAAACTTTCTTGTGAGTAACATCTGTGTCCTGTGTATAGCAGCGGTCATAATCCCAACATTGTGTGTTTCTGTGGGTTTTTCTTTTAAAGGTTATTTGTACTAGTGTGGATTATAGACTGGGTCAGCTAGTGATGCAAGGTGGAGACACAGTCAGAATTTGCACACTTCATGAAGCTGCTTTATATAGTAGTACATCGGTTTACGAAATTAATGCCTTCTCTGGAACATTATGTGATGTGGAAAATGTGTAAACCTCCAGGCACAATGCATCCTGGGGAAATTTTCTTCGCAAACAAAAAGAAAAAAGAAAGAAAGAAAAGAAAAAAATGTACACAAGGTATTATTTTCAATTTGTTTCCGTTTGTATACCAAAAATTATGTAAACCGAGGCGTTTGTAAGCTGAGGTACTACTGTACTTAAAGAAACCACAGGGACATGCCAGGCCAATGCTTTCTGTTTGAGTGACAGCAGTCTTCAATACCCCAAACACTTCTGTACAAACACTTTCTATACAAACGGAAGCGGGAGGAATGATCAAAGGGCCCCTGGTTCATGCCGCCTTTAATAGTGCTGCCCTCTCCATTCTAATTCTGGATTGGAACAGTTATTTCCACCCCCCAAAGTCTGTATTGGACCACAAAATCTCCACTAGGTGGCACACTTTGCTGGCAATATTGTACCAATATGTAGTATGTGGGGGGAAATTAGGTTGGGAATTAGGACTTTGTAGAGGAAAAGTTCTAATAAAAGGACTTACTATAAGCCACTGTTTATTGTAAATGTTATCTTCTTGCTAGCATTTTAAAGAGGTGTCTGCTGTGCTGAGTTGAATTACAAACTTTTAGAGGTCAGTGCCAGTGTGGTATAGTGGGCAAGAGTGTTCGATAGGACTCAAAAGACTTGGGTTCAAATCCGTTCTTGACATACAGGCTCATCCTGACCGTATGCCACAAGTTTTTGTAGGGAATAAAAGTAGGGAAAAGCCGTGAGCTTCTAACAGCTCTTTGGAGGAAAGGCAGCATATAAATGTTACAAAGAAATAGAAGTATATGAAATAAAGAGGATAATACATATACATTTTGCAACATACTTCTGGATTCTGTTAGAATAAGCAACAGTTGTTCAGACCTATGGTACATTAAAAAATAGAACAAAAGCAGAGGTAAATGGGTTTTTGTTATTTTTCTTCATCTGCTTTACATATACATATTTTCAAAGGCTGTGATAGCTAATGGTTGTTGTGGGTTTTTCGGGCTTCTTGGCCGTGTTCTGAAGGTGGTTTTTCCTAATGTTTCGCCAGTCTCTGTGGCCGGCATCTTCAGAGACTGGCGAAACATTAGGAAAAACCACCTTCAGAACACTGCCATGAAGCCGGAAAAAAGCCACAACAACCATTAGATCCCGGCCGTGAAAGCCTTCGCGAATACGCTGTGATAGCTTTTCATAAATGTAAGGGTAGTTTTCTTTAACACTGATAATGTTAAGTGCATTGTTTAACTAAGAACTGAAAAAGGTGTATGACATTTTTCTCCATATATTATTTCAGTATTGATTTGCTACCATATAACACGAAAGACACATTTACAGAACAAAACAGATTGGTCATAAAGCATTCAAAACCAGAAGCAAAGTCAACCCAAATTAAGGAACAGATTTAAAAGTCATGTGGAAAGAAAAATGAAAGAAAGTTATGTTACAGCAAGCACCTGGAAACCAGCTCAGCAGAGGGTATTCCATAACCAAGATGCTATTACTGAATCCATTGTAATCAGCCAGCCATGCTCCATATGCAATGTAGAAGACACCTGAGATGTGCCTTTAAAAAATTATAATCTTAAACCATGAAGGACTTCAAAAGTTGTATGCCATACTTGAATAGGGGCTAGAAACGGAAGCAGTTTTGAAACCAATGGCCTTACTGGCCCATATTGTCCACTGCCAGATAGCACTCTTGCAGCTGTTTTAAATTTAAATTGCATATGTTCATCATCATGTTTCTTGCAGCTTTTTCAACTGCAATTCTGAACTGACTGCTGAAAGGTAAACAAAGTGGTTCTTTTTTAAAAATCACAAAGATCCAATAGATGCCTTGCAATACATTAATAAAATTTTAATGAATAGGTTATTTCTCCTTTACAAATGTAGCAAAATACTGATCTGTGTCAAAATGATCTCGAAATGATGCATATACAGTCTACGTATATACAGTAGTACACATGTGTTGCCTCCAATGCATTTTTGGTATTACCTGGCAGGACAAAGTTCCAAACAGAGTAGTCCTAGAATGAACTGGAATTTTTAGCATGTATACATTACTGAAATAGCGATGTCTATGTTGGCTCGGGCATGTCGTAAGAATGGCTGGTCAGATTCCAAAAGATCTCCTGTATGGAGAATTAGTGCAGGGAAACCGCCCCAGAGGGAGACCACAGCTACGATACAAGGATATCTGCAAGCGGGATCTGAAGGCCTTGGCAATGGACCTCAACAGATGGGAAACCTTGACAGCTGCGCATTCAGCCTGGAGGCAGGCGGTGCATAACGGCCTCTCCCAATTTGAAGAGACCCTTGTCCAGCAGGCCGAGGCCAAGAGGCAGTCCTGAAAGCAGCAAAATCAGGGAGTTGGACAGGGGACAGATTGTATTTGTCTTCAGTGTGGAAGGGATTGTCCCTCTTGAATTGGCCTTCTCAGCCACACTAGATGCTGTTCCAAGTCCTCCATCCAGAGCACGTTACCATAGTCTCTCGAGACAAGGTTGCCTAATCTAAATGCACATTGGAACCAGTTACCTCAAGAAGTGGCGAGTGCTCCAACACTGGAGGCATTCAAGAGAAATTTAGACAACCACCTGACAGATCCTTTGGTATGTATTCCTGCATTGAGCAGGGGGTTGGACTTGAGGGCCTTATACACCCCTTCCAACTTCACTATTTTATGATAATTACACTTTTCCAGATGTGATGGAGTTGGGATAATAGTGCACAACTGACAGTATACTGTATGCCAATTATTTCACAAGCAGATTGGGTGTAGACTTGTAAATGATCTGGTTTGTTCCACATATAACTTCATACTGTCATGGTTTGCATCTTACACACCGAGAGAGGAATACACGTTCACGCTGCAGGCCATGCTATTTGTCATGTTAATTTTTTGGGAGGCAGAAAAAGATAGAAAGTGGACATAGAGAAAGCGGCCTCGCTTCCTGCAATCCTGAAATCCACCCCAACTTTGTTTAGAATTGTATAGCTCCATCTAGAAGCTGGCACAATGTCTACAGTTGATATAAGCTTATCTGGATGCAAAACCGACAGAATCCAGTTTTGAGTTCTTTGTGAACAGGCACAATTAAGCACGAGCTGCAACATTCCAGCCTGCCCTGTTACTAGATGGCTGGAGAAAGATGGGGTTTGTCCCATCCCTGGCTCAGATTTCTCCCAGCCCATGAGTTAAAAAAAAAAAAGGAAACGCAGCACTGTGGCTCTTGGAGAGAATCAAAAGACAAGGATCGCTGATATCTAAAGGACTGCAGAAGGTAGCTTTCGACTCTGCAGAAGTCTTCACCAGACTCGGCATTAGAGCTGGGGTGCAGAAGAAACAAAGCCGTCCCAAAATCCATGGTCGCAGGTACGACGCCAGATTCCCTTGTTTTAAAACGAGTTCCAAAATGGGGGCTGCAGAATCAGTTCCGAGGTGGCAGGTTTCAGCTTTCGTCTCTGGCAGTGTGGATTAGAAACACTGGCCACTCTTGTGTCTTAACAAAGTTCTGGAGGGGATGAATCTCATCCCTACTGCGGGGTGGGGGGGCGGCGCGTGGAGGAATAGGAAACCCTGTGAATGCAGGAGCAGCTGAGTAGGACTTTTGAATCCTGGAGAATTATTGTGCCTCCAAAATGGCAAGACTACTTGAGAAAAAAACTGAAATATGATGGCATGTTTGTGATACCCTCTGCCCCCAAAAAAGACCCAGAGAGAGAGAGAGAGAGAGAGAGAGAGAGAGAAATATGTTTCCTGATTGGGAAGGTGAGACCCTTCCTTTTCTGGAGTCACAAATGATCATGTTCACATTCCCAATGGACACTGTTTTAATATTTGTTTATCTTTTTACATATGTACATATATTAGTTTATTCCCCTAACTTTGGGCCGTAAGTTTGGCTGTGGGTAATTTACTTCGTTAAAACATAGTTATTCTTTAAAATTAAATGTATGGTTGGGTTTTGGTTACTGTTGCTTCCAGCATACCGGAGAAAATACTGGAACATGCTAACTGGAGGATTGTGGGAGTTGTAGTTTTAAAAAGCAACCTTTGGAAAGATGAGGAAGGAAGATATTCTTTTGGATGTGATGATAAAAAGCAAGATTGTGCATATGTTTTAAAGGAATTGAAGAATATTTTAAATAAATAAATGTATTGAGAAAGTTGTTGGCAACATTGTACAAAACATGAATATACTTGAGAGTAGTTCTACTTCTGTTCAGGAACTCCTGCACCTTACTCGCCTGCAATTTAGCTCAGGAGCCCTCCCACAGACATTCGCTCCTGTTCCTGAGATCCCCTCTCTTGCTGTATCTGGGTGGACCGAGAAGATTTCCCTTTCCCACCCCCGGCCCCTTGAGTAAATGTTGGTCGACAGTTCCTGTGGTTCAGTGCCCTCAGACCAAAGCACCTGCTCTGCCTGAAGGAAGGGACCCAACGCTTCATTCCCTGGCCTCTCCCTTTCTTGCTGTATCTGGGTGGACCGAGAAGATTTCCCTTTCCCACCCCCGGCCCCTTGAGTAAATGTTGGTCGACAGTTCCTGTGGTTCAGTGCCCTCAGACCAAAGCACCTGCTCTGCCTGAAGGAAGGGACCCAACGCTTCATTCCCTGGCCTCTCCCTTTTAAAAAGGATTTCTGTGTCCCAGGACCCCCTACCTGAGGGGGCGATTCTGGGCTCAGTCCTGCAGCCCCATCTGAGGATGCTTGGCTGGGAACTAGTCAGAGCCTGAGACTGGCACTCTGGAC